GCATTTGATATGTATAACCTTGAAAACATGGTATATTTTATAGGGATATAGATTTTACACTCTGATAAGGGAATATTTGTGCATATACTTAAGTATGAGCTTGAGCTGCTAAATTTTATGTATGCAGTCACACCTAAAGAGACAAACCATAAACTGGATTCTGATGATAATGGTGTGAAAGTAGATGCTACAACTTTCAAATAGTTGATTGAATCTATGAGACATGTGTTTAACATTATGTCTGACATATGTTATACAATTAGAATGGTAAGTAAGTTTATGAGTAAGCCAAAGTGGTCACATTTTCAAGCTGCACTCAGGATACTCCGGTATGTAAAGGGAACTCTAAGGCATGGAATTATGTTTCATCTGGAGTGACAGGTGATGCTGAGCTGTATGTTGTTCAGACTCAAACTAGTGTAGAGACAGGATAGACGGAAGAAGAACCACATGATACTTGTTCATGTGTATAGGAGCTTCTATTTCACGGTGCTTCAAGAAGCAACTAGTGGTTGCACTGTCAACCTGTGAAGAAGAGTACATAGTTGATGCATTCTCTGCTTGTCAAGCTGTCTGGCTTATGAATTTTCTGCAGGAACTGAAGTTCAAGGTGAGTAAACCAGTAAGGTTGTTGATTGACAACAAATAATCCATAAGTCTTTCTAAGAACCTAGTGTTGCATGGAAAAGCAAACACTTTGACACAAAGTTTCATTTTCTGCAATCAAATTCGGAGTGGAGTGCTTGAGGTTATTCACTGTAGCACTTAGAAGCAACTTGCAGATGTGATGACCAGGGCAATCAAAAGTGAACACTTCATCAATTTGAGGGATGAAATTGATGTTATTAATTTATAATCTTGAATATGAATTACGGGATGGTGTTAAATGTAATTCAAATTCATGCATTTTCATTTGGTTTGCATTTGGATTTGGGTTAGTGTATATAAACTGAAAGTTAATTACAGTTGTACACATTTTGAGCATTTTGAGAAATTGAGTTTGTTTAGAAAGTTACAATCTCTCTCTCTCTCTCTCTCTCCTCTCAGTCTCTCTTCTCTCTCTCTCTCTCTCTCTCTCTCTCTCTCTCTATCTCTCTATATATATTTATATATATATATATATATATATATTATATATATATAATATATATATAGATATATTATATATTATATATATATATATATATTTATATATATATATATATATATATATATATATATATATATATATATATATATATATATATATATATATATATATATATATATACCTATCTCTCTCTCTTTCTCTCTCCATATCTGCAATTATTTCATCTCCTTCTTCTTATGTATCAATGGAGTTTCGTTGTTGACTCCAACACTTCTCCCTCGTTCTTTCTACTAATTGAATTTTGCGAGTATTTTCTTGAATTCACTTTAGAGAATTATTTGAATTCTCCTTGTTTGAGAAATGATCAAGTATTTCTTTTTAAATTCTCTTTGGAGAATTATTTGAATTTTCCTTGTCTAAGAAATAATTTTGAGTGGTCAAACAACCATTATTGAATTTTCTTAGGAGAATATTTAAATTTCTCATTGTTTGAGAAATTATTATGATTTCTCTATACCAGATATTGTGAGCGGTTTTTATATCATATTCGATTGGTCTTTATTACCATCAAAGGATGTATAATACTAATATATATCGTGGAAGTAGTAATCAAATAATATAAAACTGAGTTGTTTTATTCTAGAGACTTCGTGGTTGATTGACTGCTTTGCACAATTTAAACTATACTATGGAACGTCTTAAAAGATAAGGACCTCAGTTCACGACTCGATCTGATAGTTTTTTCAATGATAGTTTTCAAAAATTGTAAAACAAATATCTCTTGATCCTCATTTAAACTTCTCATTTCCATAATACTTTCAAATATGGTACAAACATATGAAGAGAGAAAAAAGAAGGAAATTATTAAGAGAGGAAAAAAAGATTATCCACACTTCATATTTAAATATTGGCTTTAATGGATGATGTTGATCCCTTAACTTAATTTCAAGTTTAACTTTAGTCCCTTATTTAATAAATATTCATTTTAGATCCCGTCAGTCACATTGGTCTTGTTTGTTATATTTTGTTAACTTCTGTTAGTTTGTGACATGCATGACACTCCAGTCGGACGAACATGGAATTATTTACAATTAAAAACAATGCAAGTTGAGACGTATTTGTGACTTATTTTCTCTTCTTCCGAACCCTATCCGCCACCGTCTCTCTCTCTCTCTCTCTCTCTCGCTCTCTCTCTCTCCCTCTCTCTCTCTCTCTCTCTCTCTCTCTCTCGTCTCTCTCTCTCTCTCTCCTCTCTCTCTCTCTCTCTCTCTCTCTCTCTCTCTCTCTCTCTCTCTCTCTCTCTCTCTCTCTCTCTCAGAGACACAATCAGACGTTTCTCCACCAGTTTTCTCACCGCCAAAACCTTCGCCAATTGGCAAAAGCTTCTCGGTCTAACCGTCACTGTTCTCCGATTCATGTGGAGGTATCCAACTTTCTTCCTTGTTTCCCTTTAACTGAAGCCTCACAACTATTAGATTCTCAAGAACTCTCTTCTTTGTTTTTGTTTAACCCTAATTCCGAAATATCCTGAGAAATTTCAGTTTGTTAAGGATTCTAATGGTGTTTCTGTTGTTCGTCTCGCACAAAAGAAGGGTAGGTTTTGGATGGATGAGTTTCATAATTTGCCTTTTATTTCTCAGGTGTATGTTTTGATCTTCTATTGTTAGCTTTATATAGTTGTTTTCTGATGAATTTGATATACGATACTACGTTTCAACTTTTTGATGACAAATTTGATTTCTAATTGCATGTTTGTTAAATTTGTTCGTGGTTTGTACAGGTTCTTCATAACAATATTGATTAGCTAAACCCTTCTTCTGAGCTTTAGAAGACAAAGGACAAACTCAAGCAACTTGTTCAGTCACAAACTCTTTCTTCATGGTATTAATTTGTTCTCTTTTGTTATTGTTATTGTTATTATAGTGAGATTTAAAAACTGGCATAATTTATTGAATTTTTAGGTTGTGGCTGATCACGAGTGCTGGAAACTTCATTTTCTGGGGGTGTTTTCAATTTGGTTTTAATGTATGTTTTCTATTAGGTTGTGACTATTTTCAATTATGTTGTGGCTGATTTCAATTTTCTGGCTATTTTCAATGATTACAGATGGACAAAGCATCATTATTCGGTAGAGTTATTCAACATTTAAAAGAGGTAAAAAGAAACGCAACACAAGTGTATGAAGAACAAGAACGTGGATTCAATAGTTTTCCTTATTCAATTAAAGCATCAATGTGTTGTGAATATCAACCTGATTTGTTATAAGACAAGCAATAAAGACTCTTCGTCTCGTAATCATGAGTGGATATTGCGACTTTTGGTGTAAAAATGAAGAATATGTTTGTTGTAATTAGCTATGAGGAATAGAATTTTGATGATGCTGGAGAATCTTATTTTTGTATATCGTATAGATTGGTTGTGTATTTAATAATGTTTTAAGGATGAATTTAAAATGACATTTTATATACTCTTTTTTTAGTTAATGTGATGAAAAATGTTATTGTATAGCTTATTTGCATGTTTCTTTATGTTAATTATGTGTAGGATTTACAAAAGTTTCAGCATTAAAATGATCCTTTTTTAGAAATTTACATGAGAACAATTGTTATATTTTTTTTACACATTTTTAATAATTTAGAGGATTTTTAACCTCCGAAAATAAAACACCCGCAATTTAAATAAAATACATATGTTTACTCAACAATGTCTTCATTGTCTTGTTGTCATGTCACATGGACAAAGTTAATATTTTTCAAAAAATTTAATGGCAAGGACCAATGTAACTAACGAATAGTTTAAAAAAAATTAATATATATATAAGCGTCTATTGATAAGAGAATAAAATAAAATACGAAATTAAATTAAAAAACTTTGACATTAATTAAACCTAAATAATTTTATAAACTTATATGTAGCTCTGAGGTTTGTCATTTTTTATTTGGAATATAAGCTAGGATATGCCTTTATCTTACTGGAGTTGCACTTTATCATCACAAGCCATCTGTTTCTTTTCAGCCAACCTCAAGATACCAACGCATATTAGACATTCAAACTTCCAACTTTATGGTTGTAGCCTTGTAGGGACCATTTCTATAATGATTCCTTTAATTAGTAGTACCTCCAAATCATAAGAGAACATGGAATATGAAGTGCTGTTTTTTCGTTCAATATCTTCTCTCTTTGCTGAGAATAAAACGAAATTAAGAACAAAGGATAGCCAAATTAACAGTATAAAAGGAAATCGATGAGGACTAATAATAAAACATGGAATCATCTTAATAATTTTAGTAATCATTGCATGAAAAATCGACCAACATGCTGGCGACGGCTGTCGGTGGTTAATCCAAAAAAAGTACTAGTAAACAATTTCTGGAATCCTACCTAAATTCAAGTGATGGACGACACAATGTGCCACAATATTTATCACGTTTAAAAGAAAAAAATTATTTAAAAATAATCGTTACTTTAAGTTTTCAATACAACATTGTTTATTTTTTAACTGTACTATTTAAATAATGTAATGTACATCACTTTTAGTTTGTTAAAATTCTCTAATTTGTGTTTATGATAATAGAAATATATTAGTCCAAAGTCTATCAATTGATCGAGTTTTAACATTACTATATAATTAGCATCTTAAAAATTCAATGGATACATTCTGATTAATTGATTAACAGCGGATTTACAACATGGTGTCATATTTATGATCATATACAAGGTAAGGCAGTGCTTCTGGAGACATGATGAAGGTGATTGTTCTAACATAACAAATTTCAAAATTTGCCTGCTAAAAAGATACATGTGACAGGAAGCTGTGCTCTTTTTGCTCCGTCAAGAACAGAGCATTGAACAGGGAAGTGAGGCTTCAACTAATGATGTAGTGGTATGAACCGGATACATCCATAAATCTTTAAACTTCATCCAAGGGCAGGGGCTGGGAGCTAAGAAGTCTTTCGGCCTCGTCATTTGCTTCTGCTTGCATTTTCCATCTCTGCACAACCAAGTAAAATAATATATTTCTATTACAACACAAAGCAAGGGCAGTGTTCGTAATATGGATTAAATTGTTTCAATCACATTAAAACCAAGAATTTAAATGGTTTCATTGTTGGCTTTCTGCTTGGTAGTCTAAGAAATCTATTATAATTTTAGGAGGTATTATTTTGCATGATTTGGTTAAAGAAATTGGCCATGTTCATGACTACAACCCCAGATGATAATAGGCTTGCATTTTAGGAGAATATACCTCTTCTAAATTTTCAAGCTCCATGATTTGCTCTATCTGTTCTGTGAAACCATCCTGTAAAACAAGGACATTCACTGATAATTAATTAAACTTCTATAGCAAGATTTCATGACACAAGAGGAAATATTGATCAAGTTTTACCACATCACTAGAAGTTTCAGCAGCAAGAACATCAGTTTCCATCTCCACTTCAATTTCAATCATTGAGGAAATCTGACCAAAGAACATATCAACACTCATTTATTGATTTTTTATTTTAATATACAAAAGAAAACAGGAGAACTATTTTTTTTTGGTATGTATTTCTAAGAATGGAGAGGTTTCCTATTCATAGTTTTAAAGAAAACATACCTTAGCAAAGCTAGCAATCAATTCAATTCGTCCCCAGAGGGAGTTCTGCAAGCTCTCTCGGATCCTTTTGACTTTACTTATTCGAGTCCTAGATATAAATTGATAATGGTAACTTCAGACAAGATCAAAGTAAGAGAAGCCAGGTAATTAGCGAAACTTGAGGACATAGATCGTTGTTGAAGAAAGTTATTATTTCATCAGATATACTAGAAATAGATATGTACGATGTCATTGCAATTTACCGATATGAAGGTTCTCCAACAGCAGAAATTTTATTTTCAAGTTGGCACATCCGGGCTAACATCCAAACCTACAAAAAAAACTCATCGAATTATATAACTCAAACAAAAGGTATGTTTCAACAGAAGAGGAAAGAAATTATCATCTTCAAAATTATTTTCATACAAGCTTACTCTCTCATCATGGAAATAAGATATAAAACATAAATTTTGCTCAAATAATTTCAAGAGGATGACAATTGACAATGACATTTTACAATTTTTCTATCAGCAACTAACAACTAGGTCAATTTTTCTATCATTTCAATTGTGAGCATATTTTGCATTCAGTCTACTTTTAATCTAGAGCACTAACAGCAGCATTATGCATGAGATTTCATACAAATCAGACCCCTATATTACATTGTGTTTTTCCTTTTTTTCTTCCAGATAAGGAAGGCTTGTGGAGCAAAGCTTATGTGAAATTGCAGAGTGATTAAGAGTGGATTATGTGTTAATTGTCATACAAAGGGCCATATTAAAAGCTTTTTGTTCAACAATTCAATATTGCTGTATGAAAAAGGAACTCAACCACAGAGAGGTTTTATTAGCAATAATGCACGTCTGAGATGAAACATTTCTCCCTTAATGAGCTAGTGAAGTTATCCAAAAGAATATACACTTGTTTGTGAAATATAAGAGGTTGAAAATTAGGATAGGTAAACTGCTAAAATGTTGGCCAGGAAATATAACGGCCCCCTTCCGCAAAAACAAGTAAATAAAGGTTAACATCACCATGCTAATTACAAATCATGCAAAAGGCAAACCTCTTTTTCAGCAGCTTCTTTTAGGCCATTGATGCGAGACTGAATCACGTCATATTGAGATAAAAGACGTTGTTTGATAGCAACTACTTCCACTGATCTTTGCGGAAGCTGTAATCATAAATAAATGTATATGAGTTTTATTATGTCTTTTTTGGAGAGGAATTATAAGAATCACTTTATTTCTTTTAAATGTCTGTATTCAAGGTTGTGCAGTGAAGAAATGAAGCACAAACCCTTCTGTTTGGAATAGGAGGTTTTAATCACTGAGAGCAATGAAAGAATCTTCAAAGTAATTTTTTTAGACAAAAATAACATTATAAGGTATTGTCAACGGAAGATTGCTTCTTGAGAAGTAAAAATAGTTAGAAAGAGAGAAGATAAATTAGCATCTATCAATAGGAAAAGAACTGATGTCATGTAATAACTACGGTACCTGATTAAGCTGGGGGATAACAAAGGAATTCAAAGCAGAGCCGACAGCAAGAGATGAAACTGCAACAACTGATAGGAATTGAGGCAGACTGGGGTCAATAAATCCAGAGGCAGCATCTCCGGTGGCGAACAAAGCAAGAAGTGGAAAGAGGATGGAGGGTTTAAGTAATGATGAATTTTCATCTTTTCTAGGGGCTCGTATAAGACGTGATTCCCGTCCATCTTTGTGGTTTGTTATGCACATAGCCTCACCAGGGTAGAAATTCGGTGCCCTTGAACTTAATTTAAACGGGCCTAGATTTCTATATACATTTGATGGAGCTGCCACAGCAACAGTAACCCTTTCGCCTTCTTGTGCCGGTAGATCAACTGTCTCAGTTGCAAATCTGTGGGTACGAGCCATACCTGAAGGGGTCTCCACCTAAATGGCAGGAGAAGAAAAAAAGTACAGGTGGAATAAGTGAGAAACATTATAAAGAAATCAGGAATCGAAAAGACGCTATTTCAGCAACTAGCCATGAAACACTAGTTTGAGTTTCTCATATCTCAGAACCAGAGCCCATTTTCAAAACGATAAAATAATACCAATACACAAACATATACTTACTCGCGGGAGCTAAAACCAAATTGAAAGGATAAATGAAGGTAGGGGACTAGGAATCATACAAAAGAAGGAAAATGACAACTTGTTGATAAAAAAGAAATGTTAAAATTACTTAAAGCTAGGAATGAAACCTTTAACCAGTATAGGTACCTCCAAATGAGGTCCTGTGTGGAGTGATCTCATAGCAGAAGTATTTTTGACATTGAGAGGACTCAATATAGGCATATAAAGACTTTCAAAATGGTCTCTTTTTATGCAGAAAAAAGTCTACTATGAGGAAGGTATGAATTTAGAGTTTGAAAGCTATCAGGAAAGGCTTATTCACCAATAGGTATTCATTGTTTCACCGGCTTCTCATAACTAACTAACTTATACCCAAGTTATATATAGGTCCCCGACTAAAATACCTGCATGATTATATGATCAGAAAACAACCTCACAAATGAGATGTCAAAGATAAGAACAGTGTATATACCACAATAGAATGAACAGCAGAAGGAATGCTCTGCTTCATCAGTTTCAGGAATCTTAACCCCTTTTCCCATGCTGTAATGTCCATGCTGCGTTCGGCAGGAGGAGATCCTTAGAAAAAGTGAATACTCCATGATCAACACCGCACACATACATATTACTAAATTAACAAAAGCACAAACATGGGTTACACTAAAAGAGAAAGAATGGGCCAAATACATTGAACAAATTAGATATGATGTTTCCCATGTCAGCCATGTGATTCATAGGATAGTGCAAACTCAAAAGTGAGTTATTTAGTAACAATGTAACATATCATCTTGATTAAAAGGAAATGCTTTATAAAAATCAATATTAATCATGCTAATTAATCTTATGTAGTTTGGGTGTTTTGAACAATTGCTGTGATGAAAGAAAATCATAGAGTGAACAACCAACCCGATTTCTTCTGATTGAATACTGACTATGTTTCCTGAAACAAGTTCATATTGGTAGCGACACTTTGCACAAGATACTATCTGCAATAACAATGTTTATGTCCTCATTTATCACAACAGTAGAATAAGACAGAAAATACTTGACACTTGACGAAAACAACTTATTCTTAGTACTGTACGAGCTGGGTATTAATTAATCTTCATTGATAAAATGATTAAATCCCATCAAGGATTCTTGTTAGTAAGACAAGAACTATCCAACAATACTCTAGTAGTGGAGCATATAAAAAATTTCTTAAAAGAAATTGAAGAGAAGTGAATGAGAGTAACTAATGGAATAAAGCCTTGTTATATTTGTCATGGGAAACAAACACTGAATTCACTTTTTCATAATCACTCTCCAATCCACAAAAAAGAACATTAAACTTGTGTTCTTTACAAGGCGCTCTTCTCGTAAGTTTGGACTAAATGCTACCATTCCAATCATGAAATGGAAGCTTGAGAAGATAATATAGTAGTTGAGTTATCCTTTTAATGCAGTTGACTTTTGCACTAAATAGAAATTAAAGGACAAGCTCACCATCCTCAACTTGTCCCAAGGATTTAGAGGTAAGAAATTACACAATTCAAATATCTCTCCCGAAATTGAACTTAGCGAATCACGTAGGAAAATTAGACTAAAAAATAATTATTCTTGTGTATAGACAAGGGAACAGTAAATACCTGAATACCTTGCTGTGGCTGTGCAACTGCAACAGCTATCCGACAACTAGGACACCTCACTATCTTTCCAAAGGGGACCTGCAACAATTCGCAAAAATCAAAACAGGTCCAATGTCTGTAGTATCCTTGACATGAAATGAAGGTGACATGAAATGACAGTGACATAAAAATTCATTTAACCTTACGTACCTCTTCAGAAGGAGACACGCCCACCTCACATATATACTTAACCACACTAAGAGCATCTGAAACCCTCAAAGATGCAGCCAAACCCTGAATCAACATTGTATAAACACGTGCATTTGGCCTCGACCACTTCCATCTCTCAACTAAAGGACCATTCTCATCAACTAATCACAACAGTATACACAATCACACACATTGTCATCAAAATCAAATTCTAACTAATAACTAACTCTCGTATAGAGTAACCAATTTGTAACTAACTTTCAACTAATGCTAATATCTCAAACAAAAATTATTGAACAAGTTAAAGGTGTTTTGATATCAAAACATAATAAGTAAATTCATAGATACAGCAAAATTGGAAAAATAACCTTGATGAAAAGTGGAGCGCATGGAGTAGAAAACGGACAAAGCAAGTTGATGATTATTCCTATCAAGGGAGGCGGAAATAATAGAGCAACAATCCGAGGTAGAGACGACGCCGGAGTTAGTGGAACAGTAATCGGAGATTAAGTGCAATGCATCGTCGGCGTCTTTGGCGGTGGCTGCGATTCGATGAAGAAGCTGTTGATCCAATAGGTTGTTGGAGTTGGAGGTTTCGTTTTGGCTAACGGAAGCTTTGAGGTTGGGGAATTTGGATGGTTTGTGAAGCGTGGAAGTGGTGAAAATGCGATTGGAACAAGTTTGATAGAGTTTGAAAGAAGAGAGATGAAGTGAAGGAGTAGAAAGGTTTAGAATCATGGCTGAAAATTGAAGCGAAATGCAAAAAGTTAGTTAGATTATGAATTACAAGTTGTGGTGGGGATACAAGTATAGAATCCCAATGGATAAAGTACAATTTTTTAATAATTAAATAAATATAAATAGAAAAAAAAAATTTGGAGATGCGGGGAATCGAACCCCGTGCCTCTCGCATGCGAAGCGAGCGCTCTACCATATGAGCTACATCCCCGTCGATGTTCAGTCTCCGATTAGTTTAATTATCAATATGTCAATCTATACCATAAAGTGCATATTAATTAACACTTTCTTAGTATGCTCTGTGTTGTTTATAGAGAGCAAGATATTGATTTTTCTTACAAATCATCACTAATGCATTGGCCTGATAATAACCAGAATTTATTCAACACTTCCATCACACATTTCACCAATTTCTTGTGGGTAAAAAATACTTTGCTCGGGCATTGTTCAACTGCACATTTTTGTCCAATCACCAAACAAAGCACATGATAACATTAATAAAATCTCTATGAAGCTCAGTTTTAAGCAACGTTTACGAATAAAACTCCAGCCAAGTAATAAATTTTGGCTAGGTCTATTTTTTAACAAAGAAACCCTTCTCTCCCCTTCAAATTATACATGTTATGAAGCATTTCCTGCACCTTAAATATGTTTTCATGAGTGCACCATACGAAAATAAAACTTATTTGATTTGATAAGGAAATACAGCATTAACTATACAAATTTTTAATTGATTCACGATTACTTTGCTCAACACTTCATAAATAGAACTACAACGCAATATTAATCTAAATTGTTGAAGAAATTGAGGATATTATATTTTGAGAGTCAGACCAATATCAATATAATTTACCTCATCAATATCAATATAATTTATCTCAGGGTTGATTTATAAGATTGCGACTATTGATGAAACACACACTTTCTATAACACTTTTGTTAAATATCGTATTGTTTCGTCTACAATAATACTTTTAAAATTTTGCACTGTTTATACAGAAACGGTTTTCAAAGATTGTACTGTTTCGCATTCTGCAACACTTCACAAAGTATTGTCTATTTCTGAATTCAAAATACAAAATGCTTACAGCAACATTTCACGAAGTATTGTATATTTTCAAATTCTCCACTTTAAAATTTTCTTGTCATTTTGAAACACACTAATAATCATTAATTATTATTAATTATAATAACCTATCATTTGTTCTAATAATGACAAGATTAATTCTAGATAAAGGAAACAAAGAATGTTAATACAATTAAGTATCTTTAGATTTGAACTTAACCTTAGTAAAGACTACGCAAAACCTAATTGAAATATTAGGTAGTTATACTTTAAACCATTATTCCATGTGATTAGACCGACATTACCATATACACACTCTTTAATGGTTCTTCGACAACATCTCTCGCCTAACACTATTTATGACTATGTGTTTTTCCTATTTCGTGAATTTATCATGAGAGAAACTTCAACTCTCATTTTGAGACGGCACCATCTCAAAATTCATATAAGTAAAATTCAATTTGTATTTATTTTTTGAGATACATATCCTCGATATAGAACTTTATTAAGAGTTTGAAAAACTCAACCTACAATATCTAATAATCAACATTGTCACGAAACGTTGCAGAAATATCCAAATCAACGATTTATTATTACCCATTAACAGATTTGGTCCAAGGGATAAACCACCTAGACGATTGCCTTGGACCTCAAATTTTTCTTTTCTTTCTGTACATTAGTATTAGTACTACTTGGTTAATATGCTAGGTTATATTATACTACTATATTAGGATTACGGTACAATTTTCATTGGATAAATAACTATTGATGGCTTAATTTACTATTTGCATTTAATTTGGAGACGGAATCTGTAAAACATCCTGAAATGAATAGTAATTAGAAAACTGCAACTATTACATTATTTTTATTATTTAAAACAATTATTATTAATAACAATAATAATATCGGTAAATTTAGTAAATAATTTTTTATATAATATAAATATATTTTTAGTTGTAAAAATATTTTTTTTTTAATTTTACCATGTCATAAACCCTCATTAATAATAATAATAATAAAAATAATAATAATAATAAATATAAATAATAATAACAATAATTATATTAAAGTTAATAAATTTTATTTAATAACTCGTATAAATAAACATTGAATGAATTGTTTTTTATTATCTATAATATTAAATAAAGTCAATTAAAAGAATTTAATAAATAATTTGAATTTTTTTAGCACAAATAATTTGAAGTTTTAAAAGTTAAAAAAGTAAATTTAAATATTAAAAAAATAAATTTAAATATTTTTTAGTAAATTTTATTTAAAATCTGCCTTAGGTCTCAATATGTATCGGGCCGGTCCTGCTCATTAAATTTTAGGTTAAAATTTGTTAACTTCAAATTGAGTTGTTATCACTGTCGGAACTCTTATTCAAGGAGTTTCAATCTCGTATCTCTCGAGGTAGTGTTTACTAAGTCTATGGCTAATGGCTTAGTAAACAGATCAGCTAAATTATAACTTATTCGTATATATGTCTGTGGAATGATCACATCCTTAATCAATTTTTCTAACGAAAGAATGTCTAAGACTTATGTGTCTAGACTTTCTATTATACACTTTGTTGAATGCTCTAGCTAAATTGGTTTGACTATCACAATGTATAAACACTTTTAAAATATTGTCTTTTGCTAATGAAACTTTCTACAGAAGGTCCCTCAACCATTCAGCTTCTTGACCAACAGAATCAAGAGCCACAAACTTTGATTCCATGGTTGAAATAGTACTACATGTTTATTTCTTGCTCTTCCAACAAATTGCACATCCAGTTAGTGTAAACATTCATCCAGATGTTGATTTATAATCTTCAATACTCAATATCTAACTCGCATTGGTATATACCTCTAGTATGGCAGGAAACCTACCACAATGAAGGCCAAAATTTTGTGTTTTCAAAAGATAGTTGAGAATCCAAATTGTGTCCTTCTAGTGTTCGTTATTTGAATTACTAATAAATCTTCTCATTTTACTAATTGCAAATGTTATACCAGGTCTGATACATTGCAATCAAGTACATTATACAATCAATTGTACTTGCATATTCCAATTGAGCTACAACTCTTCCATCATTCTTTTAAAGTTTGACACTAGGATCAAATAAAGTACCCACTTCTTTGAAATGTAAGTCTTTTAATTTATCAAGTACTTTCTCAATATAATGTATTTGACTAAGTTCATAATCCCCACTATTTCGCTTTGCTTTAATCCCCAAAAGAGTGTCTGGTGGTCCAAGATCTTTCATCTTGAATGTGGAAGTTAGAAACTCTTTGTTTCTAAAATTCCATTCACCTCGTTGCTAATGGTCAACATGTAATCAACATAGAGACAAAGTAATATCACAATATTCTCACACAACTTTGTATATAAACACTTGTTATAAGAATTAGAAGAAAAAGGTTTTTAGATGAGCATGCATGATGATGCAAGAAGGTTTTTAGATGAAGTGAGAGATGAAACTATGTCCAATTTAAAGTAGTATATAGTATAAATTGTAATGAGTACCTTAGTTAAGTTCTCCTGTCTCAAATATTCACTTGAGTTTATATGTTCAACCTTTTTCATCAACTTCATCATTGATGTGCATGGTACTTTTGATCATTTTTTCTTTGATAATCCGTGTCTTCAACAAAACTAGATATAAGATGTATTCTTCACAATCTCCCCCCTTTTTGATGATGACAAACTCTTTGAATTTATGTTTTGATAAGATTGAAAAGTCTCCTCCTAAGTTATGTGTCTTCCTTTTAATTTGTGTGTATTACAATAACAAAGTCAAACTTTTAATCTCATTGTTTTGATGCTTGTTTTTATCTCTGCAAGGATTTAACAAGCTTGCACATATTTTGTTCCATATACATTTCCTCATCGAGATCTCTATTTTTTAATGTTATTTTGACATCTATTTGATTTTCTATAAGGTCGTGCAAGGAAGCTAATGCAAACAAAAATCTAATTTTCGTTGTGCTTGCTTCTAGTGCATATGTGTCAAAATAATCAACACCTCCCTTCTGTCTAAAAACCTTGGTGTCACACCCCAAATTTTATCTCTAAGTTTTCAGTCGCATTATCATAGCATATCTTGTTTTATCTGGTCACAATCTTTGATAAGCATCTTCATTCATTATATTTGCATTATTAGTCGTTCATTCATTATATTTGCATTATTAGTCGTTCATTCATACATTTAGGTTAACCAAAAGTCAATTTAAATCAACATTCACATAGTTTTAGAGTTAAAAAAATATCTGACATCTCACTTCATGCATTTTTATCTCTTTACACCACTTCATGCATTGCGTCAAGTTGATTATATTTCAATAATATTGATATTTCGATTTTACAGACAGACCGTTAAAAGCGATTCTCCGCAATGCAAAAAATTAGCAGGCAAAATATTTCAAGTTTTCATCTTTAGCTGGTTGTTTTATGAATCTATGTTGCACATAGATCATGTCAGTGTGCTGCTTTATTTTTCGGTGCAGTTTGCAGTCTCTTTCTTAACTGTTAGTGTCTGTTCAGCCATGTATTTTTATTTTTGATTTTGATCATTTGCGGTCTTTTTTATTAAACTTTGTGATCTTTAGTTTATTTTAATGTGTTCATTTCCTTTTTTTTATTAATTAAGTGTTCTTTTTTATCGTTATTTATAATTTTTGGTCTCCTCTTTTATTCAGAAAAAATTGAAACAAAAATATTTTAGGATAGATTTATTTTTACTCTTTTATTTTCTTTTGTCAATTTTATCACAAGGGGAATTTTGGCCATTTGAAAAAATTGAGAAAACCCTAAGTATCGGTATAAAGAGATAAGAGTATTGGAATGAGAGGAAGAGGCATCAAATTTTGTAAAACCAAAAACAGAAACGATGAGAAGGGTTTTCGCTTCATCTTTTTCACACTTCACTTCCTTCCACCTCCATTCACATACTCCTCTCTATGTACCGTTCCATCTCCATCCACCATATCCAACCCACGTACTTCCTTCGTTCTCTCATTTCTGTCACACGAACAGATCCTCCACCAGAACCATTCCGTCTGCTGCTACATCTGAGCTCTAAACACCAATATGCACGTTACTGCTTCCACTCCGTTCAACATAACAACCACTTCCCAACCACCATCTCCTTTGCTCAGACCAACCAACCACCAGCTCTTCTCCATGAAAACCACCCTTTGTTCGCCCTTCATTCTCTGACCCAACTTCTTCTGTTTCGCGCACAGACCCACCGAGAAACCTTCGTTCAATTTCATCTCCATGTCACAACCTCCGTCAACTATACACCAGCTCCGCCACTGTCCACCAACCTTCGAAGCTTCTATTCCAGTTTTGGCTGCACCTTCCCTCTGTTCAATAACCATCTCCATTTTTTAGTGGTAAAACATCATATCTATCATTATTTTCATTCAATTAAATCTCTGGACTGTTTTTATTAAATGTGAATGATGAAGTTGTTATGTTATTTGTGTTAAAACTGTGATGGATTTTGATATCAATAACATGTTGTTTAGGGATAAATTATGTTGAAATTGTGATGATGTTATTGTATTTGATTTGCGTTAATTTGAGTAATGAATTTTGATGTCAATACCATGTTGTTTGAATTAATTTGATTGAAATTTTGATTTAGATACTATATTGTTTGAGTTAATTTAAAGGTTTTGACGATGTTCTTGGTGTTGATTTTTAATGATAAAATTGTTTGTGACGTTGATTTTATTCCCATTTTCTTTGAACATAATTGAGATGGGATTTTTTTAGCATAAATATGTGTTTTGTTGTTGCTGCCCTGATGCCAATAATGTGTTAAAAACCTTGTTTCAATTGTTGTTTTGCTTATTCTTTGATTTAATTTGAGTATACCATGAGCTTATTTCTATTTGATTTTGGTTTTGATTGGTAGAATGAGTGATTGAAATTGTAATGTGGTTGAAATTTGTTTTGAAGTCTTGGAAACTTTCATGAGATTTTGGTTGAAATTTACTATTTACCATTTACTTTGTTAATCCACAATTGAATGTGTTGCATATTTGATCTATGATTCTTGCTTTGATATTTCATTCATACATGCATGGTGATTTTAATTGAGAAATTGAGTTGCATATACATGAATTAGAAGCGAGTTTTCTTTATGTTATTACACTTCCTTTTGTGTTACTAACATGTTTATGGTTTGTGTAAGCTTCCAAGATGGCTCAAGTGTTCACTTCCTCTTAGTACCATTTGATTTATTTCTTTTATAATCTATTAATTAACTATTGTTTTAATTAATTGATTTTGTTAATCAAAATGAATTAGTTTACTAATCTATTTTTCTTAACTCGGTTAATTAATTAGATCAATCTTTAATTAATCGATTCACATTTACCTCATTCCTTTGGTGATGTATTAATTAGTTTCTATTGTTCTCATTTCATTTTGCTTTACTTTATTATCATCCCCAATCGATACAAAGTGTATCCCTCTCCCATTATGATGTAAATAATTTACCACTTTTTGTTTATTTATGTTCAAATGCTTACTATTTTATTATTTACCATTGTCATACATAAACTTTTTAAAGGAACAAATACTCGGTGTCGAGCCTATTTTCTACCATAAGTCGACACTTTTGTGTTGCAACCGATGACACATGACTTCCTCTTGGGCCCCTCAACAATCGACTCATATGCACATTTGCACACATTCATAGCTTACCCATGGGCTTGCTTACAGTATGACCTATTCGATCAATTGTTCTAATTGGTCGTCTAGAGGTTATCCCACTTTGCTAGCATCACTTAGAAATTAGGACTTATGTTTATTTGTTTTATCATCCATTCTTGTGTGGGCCACCTTATATGAACTTGTGTGTTTTACTCGCTTATCATTATCCCCATTTGAAAATGTGTACCCCCATTCCCATGGCGATGTAATAATTTTACCGCTTTCTTTACCGTTTTCTTTATCACTTTCCTTTGTTTTTCTTATATTTGGTCTATTGTATGTTATTACAACCAGTTTGATAAGTCGAGTTTGCTTTACAATCGCAATCAACCACCCTCGCATCTCAATCCATATATCGAATCATAACCAATTTGATAAGTTGATTTTTCTTTGCAATCGCAATCGACCTCCTCACATTCTATATCATCGCATTTATTATAAAGTTTCAAAGACCCAACGTCTAGTTTCTTTTCAAAAATCTTTTTATTAATCAAGTATTGAATGGAAGAGGTACGCTCCTACCTTACCTTTTCCTAGATTAACCTTAGACATGTTCTCTTATGTGCCTTTGGTTAATTACGATCCAACCAAGACACTTTAAATAAAACAAGTTCGAATAACTTGTCTCATTCTTTTCATAAAGAGGACTAGATGGATTAGATAGGTATCTACCTAATCTTTTCCTAAGTGCGCGAGTGCCAAATACCTACTTTGGACATTCAAACATTTGTGTCCTATAAAATCAATCTCAACTCATTCAAACCTTTTGTCACTTGGCTTTTTCAATTTAAAACATTTTCCAAACGAATCGTATTTCGTTCGTTCATGTGAGATGATGTTAGAACAAGATTTGAACATGTGTTTAAATCTCTATGTTTCGATGATAAGAATGCATATATTTTATGTGAAACAAATTTAGTTCTAATGGTTTCATTTAGTGTGCAGATATTAGAATTTTGGATAGTCTTAATCAAGATATCATCATAATCACTTTAGCACTCCGAAAGAAAACCATTGAGTTCGTTTCTAATGAAACATCAGTAGTTTTGTTGAATGCTGAATGTTCGACAAGAAAAGAATCTCGTGAGTTTCTAAAAAGAAGTTAAGATTCAAAGATTATCTCAGCATCAAAATCAAGATCAGAATCAAAGACTAAAAGATTAAGATATCATAAATCAAAGAAGTAGCTGATAAAAGCTTTTGCTTACAGCTCAATATCAAGAATGAAGATATCAGAAATGAAGATGATCAGAAACAAAGATATCAAAAATCAGAGCTTAGAATTGAAGATCTCAAGATATCAGAAACGAAGATCTCAAATATCAAAAAGAAAGAATCCATGATCAGAAACCAAGATGTAACTAACATAAGGTGTTGCTTCCATCTCAATCCAAAGATCAGAATTCAAGATCAAAAATCAAGATGTAGCTAACATGAGCTGTTTCTTTTAGCTCAATTCAAAGATTAAAATTCAAGAGATCAGAAAGAAGGAATTCAATGTCAAAATCAGATGTACTGATATAAGCTTTTGCTTCAGAAATCAGACATCAGATATGCAACTCAGAAAAGCTATCATCATAAATCAAAGATCAGATCAAGATGAACTAACCAGAAAGTCAGATGTACTGATATAAGCTTATGCTTCAGAAATCAGACATGCAACTCAAGAAAAGCTGATTATCAGAAATCAATATCAGATTAAGACACAGTGGATCAGAAAAGATTTCACTCACAAACAAATAAGTTGTTCCTCAGATTAATTGTTGCTTGTATATCTAATGTTCAATTATCTGAAAGACTCTGACTCTACAACAATGAAGTATCTTCTGGATCACTTTCATTCTTCAATCATAATAAATCTAGTAAGAAGAACAATCAAACCTCAAGAATTCAAAAACTTAAGAATCAGAAAGGTTGTTGCCATAATATTTGATTTCAAAATCCAAGCATCAGAAAAGCTTTTGATATCAACTTCATAAAAGTTTTCTCCTACAACGACAAGACTTGTTTCTCAAATAAGTTGTTGCTTATATATCTGAAGACAAGAATCCACTAATTAAAGATTCTAAAATGAAACATCTTACTTAATCTTAATCTCTCAGATCTGATAAGATATACGCCTTCAAGACTAATTCTAAGATCAGAAGTCAAGCTTCGTGTTTCAGAAAATTTGTTGCTATTATTTTTTAAGACAAGTCATAGTTCTGACAACTTTGATGTTCTTATGCTACAATAATAAAGTAGTTTTTTAACTACTCATCATTCATCAGAAGAACGAAGGTAACATAATTGATATCTTCCAAGCTTAATACTTCAGAATCAGAAGTACATCATCAAAAGATAAAAGATCAAGAAACTTAGCCAAGAAGAATACAGTACAAACAGTACACCACAAATTTCACTATGATAATATTGGTTATAATATTCACGAAAGTTGTCTCCCACGATCTTATGCTAACAACTGCAAGCAGCAGGCTAAGGAAAGTGATGTTTTGTACTATTCCAAACCTCTCTTGAATCTATTTGTTGGGAATTAACCGTTGGAAGGAGAATGGACTTTTCTATCCTTACAGCAACTCTTTTTAAAGGTGTAATACGATGGGATAACTGACTTGGTTTTGTGTTTTACTGCAAATGTTGCGGATAGCAAGAGTCGCCGTCGACTTTTCTTTTATCCAATAAGGAAATGGTGAAAAGAATAGGAAAGACCTTCAAGATTTTCTTGAGTTCGGAGGGTAGATTATGAAAAGGGAAGGTGCTAGCACCTTTTTCATCTGTAGTTATGTATGGGATCTTAATCGTTAGCTCACTTTTGAAAATGCTTTATGTGTGTTTCGAATAATATTTAGAAATTCCAATAGTAAGGCAACTTTGTAATGATTTTTGTATTGGTTAAGAATGCGTACAAAGTGTTTATTTGAAAATATTTTTAAAGATGCCAATAGTGAAGCAAGACTTGTAATGACTCTCGTATCGTTAAGAGTGTATACAAAGTGTTTTTCGTTTGAAAGTATTTTGAGAAAAGTGTTTGTGAAAAGATGTTTTTGTTTCGTGAGCAAGCGATTAACAGTATTCTACTCTTACTCAAAGTTGTTATCGTTCTTTTCCTCCTCTTTTAGATAGTGATATCCTACTATTAGTTAGTAGGAAGCCCTATCGTTAGATGTGAAAGGACAAACGCGGGTCGTCGTACAGTCATAGAAGGAAACTTGTAAGGACGCTTTAGCAATTCGTAAGGGACTAGATCGTTTACTGAAGGCAACATTAGAAAGGTCATTGAGGGACTACGTTCTTTCTAACCGAGGGTCTTTGCTAAAGCGCCCCCATGTTTGAGGGACGTGATTGTTTTCTGAGGCAACAAGTGAGGTTACCCTAGAGGTGCGCGTGTGAAGAGTGATTTGTTTTCAGTTAATTTATCTTGAAATTAGGGTTTTCTATTATTGTTTTTAATCTTTCCACACAAACCCTATTAGCATACATCTAATAGTTATGTACAAGGCATAAAAATATAAGTGCGGAAAAGTAAAATCCTACGCTATTACAGGGCTTCGAGAATGGGGGTACAAATAGTAAAATAGGGGGGAAAGTAAAACCCTAATTAAACTATTACAAACCATAAGTAGTTACATAATCGGAAAAAAACGCGAAATAATAAAACACG